AAAAATAAGGGTCAGATTTCTCCAGCTGCCAAGCCTCCCACATTAACCTGAGCCCTCTGGTTTCCTGCCTTCTGGCATGTGTGACCTCCTGCACAGTAACCCCGGCACTCCCCGAAGAGCCCTGGGATGGCAGGAAGAATATGGGGTCGTTAAGACTTGCATAACTTTCAATCAGCCCCGCCAAGAAAATAAGGATGCTGCTTGGACTGAGAGTGCCGTGAGCCTTTTATGTTGGATTTTCAAGCACGAAAATGGACTTCCCTGTTCCGGGCTAATGGTGCCTGGGGTCCTCTTTAGGTCAAAGGAGCCCCAGGGTAGCTGTGAGCCTCACCCCATTCTCCAGAGCCCATAGGGGACGTTGCAGCCCAGGGACTGATGTCTTCTCCCCTCAGTTGGGCTGCCAGCGGTTCACCCAGAGCTGCCTTGTGCTGGTAGGGAAAGCTGGAGGAGAGAGGATGGGAATCAAGCCCGGGAAACATGGCTGAGCTCCCAATGCAGCTGGTCCTTGCTGGGGGTGGATGGCTGCGATGAATTTTCCATGTCTCTGACTCACTCTGCTTGGAAATTTGTCTCTGACCATGAATCAGCCCCATCAAGAGCAGAAGCTTTTGTGAACTCACTGCTGGAGACGAAGGGGTGTCCCCAACCGTGGGGGAGGCTGAGGCTGGTGTTCAGGCAGTCTGTGGCACCCCACTTTCACCAGTCCTCTGGGGGCGGTGAGGGTCAGGGTACAAACCACCTGGCTGCCAAGCAGGTCCGGGCAGGCTGCAGGAGCAGGGCTGGTCCCTCACCACTGTGTGCCAAGGCCAGGGGCCGCACAGCCCCTCTCCGGAGCAGGGAGTGATGGCATTTCTGGTCCAGCAAAGCTCGTGCTTGGGAAGAACGGGAATAAGTGACCCCAGTGTGTGCGGGTTTTAGCAGGCAGAACTGTTTTGCTATCAGGGCTGGGCCCCGCAGTTCTGCGACAGATATATCACTGCCAGGACCAGGTTTGAGGAGAGACCAAGGCAGACACGGTGCCCGCTCCAGCTGGGAATGCTGCCAGTGCTTGTCTGGGTGAGACGTGCTGCTGCACTCAGCCAGGGGCCAGGAGGAAATCCCTGTTGGATGTCTCCCGACCTCTGCTGAATCAGAATAACCGTTCCTCTGGAAAACCTAAATTTATCCCCAAAGCGGTGACGGCATAATTCACATATGCCCTATTCCCCTCTCCTTTACGCTTGCCATTTCCAACAATAAAGCAATGCTGTGAGCAACCGTCTGGTAAATCAGCACTTCTCCCGTCCCTCCTGGTGATGTGAACCCCGGGCTGAGCAGCTGCAGGAATTCATGCAAGTTCAGACCAGGCTGAACTTTTGCACAGTGACCTGCCAGGTCAGCACGGGAAGGAGTGGGATGGAGAAAGGCAGAGAACAAAGACACCCGTGGCAGCCTGCCCGCTCACAGCCTGCCCTTCACAGGACAGCGGGACAGGGACAGGGACGGGGACGGGGATGTGCCACCAGGCAGGTGGGAGCTGTTTGGAGGAGCTACTTGCAGTGCATGTCGGGGATACTGCCCTTCCTGGCCAGCTGGGCTGGGGGGATGGCATGGAAGAGGGGATGGGGATGGGGATGAGTGTGGTGACTGAGATAAGGGTAGGGATGGGGATGGGAGTGACCCCCGCTCCCACAAAAGATAGCTCCCTCTGGAATCTGCTGTGTCCTCACCAGGGGATGACCCCAGCCAGGGGGACCCCGGTGAAGCACGCAGAGACCCAGGGGTGAGCCCTGAAGGTCGCTGTGCCCTGCTGCTCCCTGGCTTGCTCCAGCATCCCGAAGGCTGCAGGGTCTGCCGGGCCGGGGCAGGGTCCTTGTGGGGTTCCTGCTGGGGGTGCACTCTGCTGTGCAGAGTGGAAGGTTCTTCATCCCCCCGGGCGCAAACCTTGGCCCTGCCCCAGCCCCAGACCTGGCCAGGCAGTCCGGATACCACAGGGATTTCAGCTGCAGCCCTTTTCCATGCAGAGCAGACCGGGGCTCCCTCTTGGCACAGAGAAATGCCCTGAAAGATCAATCCGCACCAGCCAGGCCATTTTAAGCTCTATTTAAACTCAAGTGCATCCAGCTCTGCACTCTCTCGTTGACTCTTCTGGTTCTCCCATGACTGGTGGTCATTCACAGCCTGGGGTAGCTGAGGGCGTCAGGGGACTTTTAATTTGCGTGCGTTAAAAATTCATATTTCTCAGGGCAAATTGGAGATGTCCCAATAGGAAAATACAGACAAAGGAAAATGCATAAATCACGTGGCTTCTCAACAGACTTTGGCTTCTTACATTACTTCTCTCCTGCCTCAGCCCAAACACTGCAAACGCAGAAAATAACCAGTGGGAACACGTCTGCTTCGGCACCCGGCATAACCCTGTCATTTCCCAGGACAAGCTCCAGTGTTGGGTAATGGCAGGGCAGGGAGCGGAGCTGCACACAGGATTCATTTCGTCTGACGTTGTTAACCCGAAGCAATAGTCAACACATGAAATTGTGCTTCCCTGTTTGTCCCAGTGACTTGTGGGTTTGGTGTTTCCCAGTTTAGAGGGCTCTCGGGATGCTGGGTGCTCCAACCTTGAGCTCCATAGGCACGGCTCCTGCCAGTTCTCTCTCCTGGGATGCCAAAAAGTGACAGGACCAAGATGAAAAGAAGACTTTTCACATTTTTGGGGAGGATGAGCTCATCTGGGAATTTTTGGCAGAGCTGTGGCTGCCCCTCCAGCATGCACTCAGGCGTGGTGGTGGGTACGGCAACAGATCTGTCCCTTGGGGGGGCTGATATACAACCTCTGGCGTGGCCAGGGGTGCAAGGGGCACAGGCCAGCCCCAGGTGCCATGCAAGGGACCCCAGGCCTTGCAGAGAAGCCTGATGCTCTCACCCTGCTGGGGGTGACCCCTCCCTCTCACCACCACGCCCCCAACACATCCCGAGCTCCCCTTCAACAAACACAGCAGGGTGAGCACAAAGGGTCCCCTTAAACCTCAAAGGTTTGGAAAAAAACAACCACATTTTGCATTTTTTGTTGTTTCTTTCTCTCCTGCAGCGTTTCCTACCTGTTTTTTTTTTTTTTTTCTTTCTTTTTCATTTGAAAAATTCCATCTGACATTGAAACAAATGAGAAAACACCCACTGGCAGAGGGGGGCTGGGGGATTTCTGGACTCTGTGCCTGCTGAAATTTCCCAAATTCCTCCTTCCCCAGCTCCTACCTCCGTGACTCCTCCCTGTGCTGTCACTGCTGGGTGCTTGCCCTGAGGCCTCTCACTCACCCTTTCTGCAAGCAGCAGCCTGGGAAATGCCTGGAGACTGCTCAGTGCCAGAAGAACAAGAAATCAGCAGCTGGTATTTATTCCTGCAGGAGCCTTACACACCTTTGTACATAAACACACCTACACCAAAGAGGTGCTTCGCTCCCAACAACAGGGAGTTAATGCCCACAAAGGAAACAGATGGGAAACCCTAAATATTAGTTGCCTCTTTGTGCACAGGAAAATAAGTTTAGCTGATGGAAGTATAGGGTGCACACGTCATCGCTTCGGCAAGGCTGAGTGCCACGGGAGAGGCTGGGCTTAAAAGTCAGCTCTGCAAAACCACAGCTAAATAGTGGCAGATCTCAAATGCAGACTCCTGGCAAAAATCCTCAGGGAAGAGCTCTGCAGGGTGGGAAAGCCATTCCTGATGGCCACTGCCCTTGGGAAGCTTTTGTGCCACCACCCTGCTCGCACCCTCCAGTGACACAGGGACCCCTGGAAGGGTAAATCCTGCTGCCAGGCATTTTTGGACAAAATGGAAAGGCTTCCACCCCGAGCTGGGCAGGCCATGCCTGTGCCACAGGGCTGGGAGTAGCAGTGATGGGATGGAGGCAAAAGTGCTGCGGGCTTCTGTGGGGCTGAGCGGAGGCGAGCTCGGCACAAGCCCCTGCGGCAGCCCTGGTCCCACGGGGGCTCACTGGCAGCCAGATGGGCGTGCGCAGGGCCCAGCAAGTGGTGGGAAGTGGGAATTTAGCCCCGAAAGGTGGTGCAGATGGGAACGCAGATCCCTGCTCTAGGATGCCTTTTGTAGAGGAGAGACTCAGTGCTGGAGCGGCAAGAGGAAACACCCGGCCAGGAGGGAGCAGAAGGGCTCCATCTGCTCTTCTCTGAAAAGAACTGAGAGTGGCTCCATCAGGGTGTGTGAATTCCTTCATGGAGAGAAAAAGCAGAAACTGAAAATCCCTTTAAGCTGGTGGAAAAAGGCAGGAGAAGAGGGAAGAGCCGGTAACCGGAGTCCAAGACACTTGCAAATGAAGTAAGAAGAACATTATACACAAGGGCCTTAGAGGAGGGAAGGATTAATCCTTTGCACTCCTAGAGACCAGCAGTGTTCAGAGGAGTGTCCGGCTCACCCCAGGCGTGCAGAGGAGCTGACCCCAAGCGCGCACCCTCCCCGGGGCTGGCAGCAGCCTGCGGAGCGTCGCCCGGAGCCCTGCGCCTGCAGCGTGCACCCGTGCCGGGGCTGGGGCCGCCCCGCAGAGCCCTGCACCCCCCGCAGGCACCCGCTCCTTGGCCCCCAGCACCCCCGGGGCGCGGTCGGGGGGCCCTGTGCCTGCAGCACACGCTCGCCCCCCGGCCAGCAGCTCCCACCTGGACACGGCCTGGGGAGAGGTTACGGGTGCGGGCGCCCGGCGGGGCTGCACCTGCGGCCGGGGGCTCCACGGGGAGGCACCAAGGGGCAGGGCTCGGCGGGGCTGGGGTTCCCCAGTGCAAGGTGGGGGGCCGGGGCAGTGTGCGGGGGGGGGGGGGGGGACGGGGACGGGACGGGGGGCGAGGGGCACGGCTCGGGGCGGGGGGCGCAGCCGGGGCTCGGGGCCGGGGCGGGCGAACAAAGCGGCGGGGCCGGGCGGGCGGGGAGGGGCCGGTCGCTGGGCCCTCCCCGCCGCGGTGCGCGGGCGGCGATAAAAGCGAGGGCGCGGCGGCGGGGCGGGAGGCGGCCGGGCAGCCATGGGGCGGGCGCGGGCAGCGCTGCTGCTGCTGCTGCTGCTCTGCGCCACCGCGGCACCGGCACCGGCGGCGGGGGGGCGGCCCGAGCGGCGGGCGGCGGGGGGCGGCAGGGAGCGGCGGGCGCGGTTCGCCTCCTGGGACGAGGTGAACGTGATCGCCCACGGGCTGCTGCAGCTCGGGCACGGCCTGAAGGAGCACGCGGACCGCACCAAGGGGCAGATGCGGGAGCTCGGCAGCCGCCTGAGCGCCCACAACAGCTCCATGGGGCGGCTGCTGCGCCAGGCGCGGGAGGCGCAGGAGCGGGGCGAGCGGCTGCGGGCCAGCGTGCGGGAGCTGGAGGGCCGCGGGCGGCAGCTCCTCGGGCTCTCCGAGGCGCTGCGGCAGCGCCTGGAGGAGGTGGCGGCCGACAAAGCCGAGATCCGGGGCCGGCTGGAGCAGCTGGAGGGCCGCGTCCGGCAGGCGCTGCAGGCGCGGCCGGCCGGCAACCAGAGCGCCAAGGGGCTGGGGGCGCTGCAGGTGAGCCGGGCCAGGGCACGGGGGGCACCGGGGGCACCGGACCCGCCCGGGGGACCGGGAGCGGGAAAGGCGTCCCTGCCTTTCCCGGGAGCTGCTGCGGGAGGAGGGATGGGGGCCGCGACCCTTCCGGGGCAACGGGAGCGGCTGCAAGAGGGCAGCTGTGGGGAGCTGCCCCCCTCGGGACACGGGGGGCAGCCTGGGGGGGGGCGACCCTCCCAGGACCCTGCGAGCAGAGGGTGGGGATCGGCCTCAGGAGAGCGGCGGGGTGACCTGGCGGTCCTGGGGGCACCAGGAGCAGTGGGGGGACGGGAGGGGGGACTGGCCCACCTGGCTCTGTGCAGCGCGCGAGGCATAGCTGGATCTCCCTAGAGTTGTGGCGCTCACCTGGCTCTTTCCCCCTCAGACCCTGATGGACGCACAGAACTTGCGAATTGAGGAGCTCTTGCAGAAGATCAAGCAGCAGCAGTACAAGCTGGACAAGCAGAATCTGCAGATTAAGAGCCTGCAGAGCAAGGTGAGCTCCTGTCCCGCTCCGCAGCTGGGGGACCACAGCCTGGTCCTGCACGCTGTGCGTGCCCTGTCGGGAGCTGCCTGGCACCCCAGCTGGCACCGCACTCTGATAACAGAACCAGCTGTGTTGCTCTCCCCGGTGTTGGGGACCCTACAGAGGCCATGGCCTTGGTCTTTGTGCTGCAGTTTTGGTGCAAGGGTAACAAACTGCAAGCTTCCTGAGTATTTGTGCGGAGCAATAGGAGGAATTGGTATGTGAGAACAGAGCCTCTCTGGGCTTGTCCTTTGAGTTTATCTGCAGAATAAACTTGTTGGCATGGGTGTGAAAAACCACAATAATTTCTGCCTTTGCCAGCTTCAGGTATCTCCTATTCCTCAAGGTTTCTGGGCAAGTTCAGCCACAGCTGTGGTCACAGGGGAGCAGCTGGCAGCTTGTCCAATCAGCTCCACTGAGTAACAGTGTTGAAAATTAGCTGAGATAAATTGTTCTGACTTGTGCGGTTTTTTTAGGTCAATCTACTGATCCCTTTACACCTGAAAGACAACAAAACACATTCTCCGAAGTGGAAGATAAACCTGAAGAGCCTCAGCCTCACCAACCAGAGCCAGAATGCCAGCAGGGAGCCCGTGCTGACAAAGAGTGAGTACCTGCTCATGCCACCCTGCTCTTCTGTGCTGGAGCAAACCTGCAGCAGTTGCAATCATTTGGAAACAAAAGGTTCAGTTGGCCTGAGTCAGGATGTGATATTCGCTTGCAATACCAGAGCTTCAGAGTTTGGCCAGATTGAGGAGATCTGGAGCACAGGCAGGATCCTAGCCTTCTGGATCAGTATTAGTCCTGAGGGAATTTAAGGATTTAAGAGGAATTTTTATGCCTGATATTAAGAATGCAGTGGGGAGTGAACACTGATAGCAGGTATTTGTCAAAGAGGGTTGGCAGATGTGGGGGATGAATGCAGGCAGGAAAGGAGGATCTCTGATCCTTGGAGTTAACTCTTATTTACCTGCTGTCACTTTACCAGGCAGAGTCTGCTTCTCAGTCTGTCTCCTGGCAGAGGGGAGTGTTAGGGAGCCCTGTACCGTAAGAGGAGAGCTAGATCCTTGTGCATTCATGCCCCTTGGCTCGTATTTAGGGCTCATACATGAAAGACCAGTATCTCAGCTTGCATTACCCTTAGCAGAAGGTGCTGAGCTACAGCAAATGCCCAGGCAGTGAGGGCATGGAGGGCAGTCACAGACCTGGGAAACACGTACCGGAGCAGGCGAGTGGATGTTTCATCGGTAGCTCCTGGCTCTGCCTGGAACACCCTCTCTGCCAGCAAGGGGACTGGAGGAGCTCCTGCAGAGCAAAGGGCAGCAGAGTGGGTGTCCCCAGCTGTGCTGCGTCCTGCAGCTTCCCTCCCAGACAGGAACTGGTGTCCCCACAGTGTTTGCTGGCCAGGAGCAGCTGCTCTCATGTTATGTCAGCTAAATCATGGTGCTGGCTCTGTCCCTGCAGCTGTCTGGGGATGTCCAGTGTGAGCCAAACAGAAACCAGGCAGGGTGAGAATGCAAGGGAAATCCTGCCCCAGGGCTTAATGCAGGGATAGCTATAGGAAAATGCATGGTAATTTGTATGTGGAGCCTGGAGCTGTCACTGGTGTGCCTGACAGCTGAGTGGGCAGAACAAAGAGCTGCAGAATCGATGCAGACAAGGAGAGAGATGGGACACAGGGCTCCAAACTCCCAGTGCTCTGCTCAGTGGGGCTGGCCAGCCCACAGCAGGGCTATGTGAGGTGTCCCTCACAGCCGCACTAGTGAGCTAGGAAACTCTCAAAACCTCTACCTTCCCACCTCCCCATTTTTTTTCCCAGCTCTGCTTTGTGACCTGCCCTCAGTAGTGTGTCACAGAATCCTAGAATCGCCTGTGTTGGGACCTTTGAAGGTCAGGTAGTCCAGCCCCCCTACTCAGCTCTCAGGTTATGCTGAAAGTGGAGTGCGGGGAGGTAGGTTTGGGGCTTTGCTACTTATTGGTGGCAGAGGTAGCTGGTGCTGGGTGGAGCAACCCTTGTGAAGCACGGCCAGAGGCAGTGGGGGCCCACAGCCCCCTGGGGATGCTGAGGTGGGGGCTTGAGAGCTCAGCACCTCGCGCTGCCACTGTCCCCCATGGACACATCCTGAGCATCCTCCTACCTGAGCTGTGAGCTCCCCCTTCTCTTCCCTAAGCCCTGATGTTGATATCAGTGACGGAAGACAAATCGGCTTCCTCTCATTAGCAAGTTGAGTGAGTTTTCTGGCAAATCCTAAAGCACACAATGTCTGGCAGGCCAGGCCCGTGCCCTCTGCCTGGGGAGGGGGGCTGTGGCTGCTTTCAGAGCAGGCAAGCGCCAGGAAGGCTTGTGCCAGCTCCCTGCCTATTGTCAGGCAGAGCTGCGGTGCCGGCATGGCTCCGGGGAACAGCAATGAACTCCACCAGCAGCCCTTTCAGAAAGACCCTTTTATTTGCATCCAGTGAACACAAGTTTTTTCAGGCCAGAGATGGCATGGGGCCAAGCATGTGAAAGTTGAAGGCTTGAAGCAGCCTCAAGACTGAAAGATTTAATCGCTTGCAGAAAGAGGATCATGTCTTTAGGCAGAGCCTGTGCTTTCTGGCAGCTGGCCGAGTAGGGGAAAGGTAGAGCCCTGCTCATGTTCTCTCTGCAGCGCTGGGACTCCAAAATAGTTGGGTTGGGGAGGGTGTGGGGGAGGTGATGCAAACAGCTCCAGGCAGGCCCTGCCATCCACAAGAAAGTATGTTTATCCCAGGTTGGTGACCTCCTGTCATGCCTGGAGATCCTGTTGGGTAAGTGCAGTGCCATGCCTGGGACAGCTCCAGCCAGCCTTGTTGATTCTTCTGTCTTGTTTGGCTAAATAAAGGGGGATGGAAACAAAACCATCCAGAGCAGCCAGGAGGTCTTGTTGTTCTGCTGGTGGCATATGGATGTGCAACACAAACTGGAACTAACAAGCATGTTCCTCAGATGAAAAGATTGATCTGAGGCTGTTCAAGCAGCTGCACCTCATTCAGCTGCTTGAAAATCCCTGTTGCACCAGGAGAACAGAAGAGATCTGAGTGCAGTGAGTGTGGACAGGGCCCAGGAGTAAAAAAAAAACAAAACAAACAAAAAAACCCAACAAAACAAAAAAACAAACAAACCAAAAACCAAAAAAACAAAAAAACAAACAAACAAAAAAAAAAAAAACCAAAAAAACCCAAACAAACAAAAAAAAAAACCAACACAGGGATGGGGTTGACTTTTGCACACTGGGGTCACTGAGGATCTGGCTGGGTGCTATCCTGCTGATGGTAGGAGAGGAAGCGAGGAGCTCGGTGAGGCTGGGTGAGCCCAGCAGACTCCAGCACCTCCCTGCTGCTGTGGTTGTGAGCCAGGATGGCTGCAGCTGTGGCTGTGAGGTCAGGTTGTGGTCTTTCCTTCCCCTGAGCCTCACTTGGCTTCCCTGGCCGCATCCACCTGGAAAGCGGCGATATCGATGCGCTTGGCCTCCCTGCAGGGTTGAGTTGGCTTTGTGTGGCTTTGATCCTTTGTGCAAAACACCTGCCCTTGATCCCCATGTGCCCGGGCTTGGGGCCACACGCTTGTCCCGTGGGTGCACCGATGGGCTCGATGGCACCGGTCGGGGGGTGCGAGGGATGCCAAGGGCAGGGCTGTCCCACCGCCGGCAGTGGGAGAGGGGCTGCTCCTGCCAAGGAGGGGAAAGTTCACCGGGGGGGAAATGGGTGAAAGGTGGCGGTGGGTGTCACACTGTCATCCCCTGGGTCCCCCCCACACTGACCTTTCCTCCAGCTGTGGCTCTGCTCTTGGCCCCAACACAGCATCGGGACACCGGGTGAGGACGGGGGCTGGGGGCGATGCCCTGCGGGGGCTGCTCTTGCTCTCGGCAACTCAAAAGCCCCATTTTCCCCCCTTCCCCGTGCAAAGCCCCGTGGCCATGGGGAATGCCCCTCTCCCCGCTGCTGCCAGCCCGGACCCTGGGCTCGCCTACTTCAGGGAGGACCCCCCAGGGGGGCTGTGGGGACCCCTATAGCACGCTGGTACAGCCGGGGGCTTGTCTTTGGGTTTCTTCACCCGTCTATCTTGGGGTTGTGCTGGCAGCAGCTGCGAGCCACCAAAATCCATCCCACCCTCATGCGGGGAGAACAGACCCCCTTTGTCTGGGGGTGATGGGGGCACCTGTCCTGGCTGACAAAGAGTCCCTTGACTGCGCCAACAGCCCAGGGGCTGAAGTCCCTGCACATCTTCCGGCGGCCTTTTGACGCGGGTTTTGTAACAGGTTTTTTCCCCCCAGCTTCTCTCCCTGAGTGCTGTGGGTGGTGGTTCCTGGATGGACTTTTATCAGTGCTGTTGAAATGGTGCTTTGCTGGCAGCTCTGGGCAAAGTCCCCACAGGGGCAGAAGGAGAGGTGGAAGCCTGGCTGGTGTAGGGATGGAGGGGTGTAAGCTGGGGGGTGACCTCATCCCAGACAATCCACTTGTGCAATGAGCTGGGGCTCCCTGTTGTCCACCCACCGCTTCCCCGCCCCAGCTGGTGTGTTTTGGGCAAAAGCTTTACCCCAGCCTGGCCCCATACCTACGGGTAGCATGTTGCCCACTGGGACATCTGGCCGGGGCCACCACAGTCGCCAGAAGCAAGAGGCCATGTGCTCAGGTGCCTTCCCGACATCAGGACTTGGGATTTGTTTCTGCTCTTGAGGCCCTTTGAGCCTGCTTCAGCCTTGGAGTGGGATGGGGACGCTTTGTCCTGGATTGCCCTTGGGGTTGGCCTATCCCAAATGGGCTGCTCCTGCCTGGTGCTGAGGGAGCTGGGAAGCTCCTTGGGTGTCTCCTCGACGCGGTCAGTGCTCTCCATCCTAGGTCACCCCAGCCTGGCCCAACGCCTGGCTTCTGCCTTGGATGGAAGCCCAGGGAACTGTGTTTGGATAAGTGGGAAGATACGGGGTCGCGGCACTTAAAGATGCTGAAGATGGGCCATTGTCTTCAGCACGTGTCCAGAGCTGCAGCCACCACTGTGCACAGCTGGCTAGGCTTGTGGCCGGGGCTGTAAGTGCTGGGGCTGTGGTAGGAGCAGCCTGCTGAGGCAGTGGGACCCGGGGCCGTCTTCTCAGTCGCTGTTTCCTTCCCCTGCAGAGCTCCCAGAGGATTGCCACCAGCTCTTCCTGGCCAGGCAGCAAAGCAGCGGTGTTTTTCAGGTGCAGCCTGCAGGGTCCCAGCCCTTCAAAGTCTACTGCGATATGACTGCAGGTAAAGCAGTGAGGTGTCCCGCAGCACTTTGCATGGTGGTCTTGCAAATGGTAACCTCAAATGACCACGTTTTTTCCGGCCTGCAGAAGGTGGCTGGACAGTGATCCAGAGGCGCACAGATGGCTCTGTGGACTTTGACCGGCTTTGGGATGCCTACAAGAATGGCTTTGGAGACCTTCGTGGTAGGTGGATGACCGTGTCTATTTTCTTGTTGTGGGATAAGCGATATCTTAGCACGAATTATTCCCCCTTGCTGGCCTCTGGAGATCTCTGCCAGAGCACAGTGTTGGGCAGAGGAGGGGGGGAGCACTGCTTGCAGAGCAAGAGTCCTTGGTCTTCCTGACTTGTCCTGCAGGTGCCAGACAGTGATTCAAATGCTGCAGTGTCCTGGGTTGTCTCTGTCTGTCCCTGGAGCCTGTTCATGGGTCTGCTTTGCCCAGCATGTTTGTGTCCCTGCAGCCAATGCAGTGTGTCTTGTTTCAGGTGACTTCTGGCTGGGCTTGGAGAAGATCCATCACCTTGTCCAAGAGGGAAGATACAATCTGCTAATTGAGCTGGAAGACTGGGAGGGAAATTCCCAGGCGGTTCAGTTTGTCTTCAGCCTTGGTGGCGAGAGCACAGCCTACACGCTCAATCTGCTGGGACCTCTGTCTGGAGAACTGGAAAACGCCATCGGGGACTTCAGGCAGCTGCCCTTCTCCACTCGGGATCGTGACCATGACCTCAAAGCTGACACAAACTGTGCCAAACACCTCTCAGGTCAGTATGAGCTCTTCCTTCCCGGTGGTGTGCACCTTCCCTTCAGCTCTCTGCTGTCTGGTGGTGGTTGTGAGTGGGACAGTGACCCTGTGGGGCTAAACCCCTTTGGTGCTGAGCCTGGCTTGTTCCCTGCTTCCCTGGGAAAGCTGCATGCTTGGGAGGAGCCGTGCAGGGAACTAGGAGGCAAGCTGAAACCAGGAGGGGTTCATGATTCATGTCTTGGCCCAATCAAGCTTTTCTGGCTGCCACCTTGCTTGGAAACTTTTCAAGTGAAGCCGAGGCCAATCCCCAGGTCTGAGATGGGGCTGCTGAAGGGTTTGAGGAGGTTTTGCATGCAAGGAAGAGCAGCAGGATCTTTTCAAAGGTTTCCCACTGCATGGGACTCCTCAAGTGTCTACAAGGTGATCTTGTAAGGTCCTAAAGCCCTGGAAAAGTGGGGAAAATGGGGGCAGCAGCTGCCTTGAACCTGGGTTTGTTTTCTGTCTGGAAGTGCTGTGGGCTAAACCTGCCTCTGTTGCCTGTGTAGGTGGCTGGTGGTTCAGCACCTGTGGCCATGCCAACCTCAATGGGAAGTACTTCCGCTCCATCCCCCGGCAGCGGCACGAGCGCAAGCAGGGCATCTTCTGGAAGACTTGGAAAGGCAGGTATTACCCGCTGAAGTCAACCACCATGAAAATCCAACCTGCAGCACTGGAAGCAGAGCCCTAAAGCTGCCACTTGAGACTTGACCTTCTTCTGTGGAGCACAGACCTGAGCTCCGTCACTTCGTGTTTACAGAAAAAAAGCCCACCCTCCCCAGGAAGTCCCCTGAGGATTGTTTCTCTTGGTTAGCAGACCTTTAGTGGCATGACACAGCTCCTCACTATAAGTAAAACAGCTCTGTGTTGCTGAAACCCCTGGATGGGAGCTCCCAAACCAGAAGAGGAGCCACCAGCAGCGAGATCCACCTCCAAAGGATGCACAGGGATCTTCCGACCTGCCACATGCTGCTGCGGCGGGTTCACGTTGTCTGGTGCTTTCTGTCCTGTCTGAACACTTCTGTACTTGTTTTGATGGGCTGGGAGGAAGGGGAGCGTGTGAAGTGTTTCACTACCCTGGACCTAAGAGTTGGGTACAGAGCACCTCCTGTGTCCTGTCTTTCACTGTTGTTCCCAAATTATGGCCTATGTGGCCTCCTCTGAAAGCCCCCAGAGCCTCCTTCCCCCCCTGGTGCTGTGGGGCAGTGAGCCTCAGGCAGCTCCGTCTGCACAGCCCCTGCTCCTATGACTTGAGGCCACTGAGAACGTGGGTTTGGTGGGTAGGCTGAACGCCACCCTGTGCAGAAGGGGACCTGAGGCTCACTTGGCTTCCCTGGCCCCCACAGCTTCAAAGCCCTGTATTTCTGTCTGTGCTGGAACTTGCTGGGAGCTGGGGAAACCACTTCCAGCTCCAGGAGATGACTGGTGGGATCCTGCAGCCAGTTGCACAAGGGCCAGATCCTGGAGGGTTGGGTCTTAAGCTCTGCCTGGAGCCTGCCAGTGTTGCTGGGAGCGGTCAGGACAGGCACGAGGACAGCACGGGTACAGAGCAGTGCCTCCCTGGCCAGGACCGTCCCTGCTGTTGGCTGTAGATCCCCTTGAAGCCTGGAGGCTGCCTCCTCCCAACAGACTCCCTGTGCTTCACAGTGTGAGTAGCACGGTCCCACGTACACGCCCCACATACGCGCCCCACAACTTGCTCTAAAGGGTCAGGGGTCAATAGGGTTTCTTGTCAAGATCCACACTGCCTTGTCAGGTGTGTACCCTGAGGTGCAGCACTGCCTCTGCCTTTGGGGTGGGTGTCTGGGGGGAGGTGGGTGAAACGGCTCCCCCAAAACTGTTACGGGCCAAGCTGCTGTCTTGGGGCTTCCCAAGCATCCTACCCTATTGAAGTCATATTGACTACTCTGCTAGAGCGTCTAGCTGCTAAATATTGTAAATAGTCATTTGTAGGATGTTGGACCTTGCTGATGAATTTTCTGTTTTAATTTGTTTTCATATTTAAATGCAGTGTTAATAACAATGTGGTGTAATTTATAAATGTTGATGCTGGAGAAAAAAACCCTGTAGTTTGTGTATTTTAAACTTTTTTTTTGTACTAAAATATCTTTTTCTGAAGAAGTCTTTTAATAAAAACAAGCCTGTTAACTGTCCCGCCTGGTTTATTTGCCCAATGATTTACCAGTAGATGATGTGTGGGATCTATGTGAGGGCTCTGGATTCAGAAACTACTTGTTGGGAGTTTGACCTGGGCGCTATGCTTCCCTCTGGCCTCAATTAAGCTGTAGCTGTATGGAGCTCTTTGAGATAAATCCCTGCTATAGCCCCCAGCAGTAGTTTTTAGCTTGTTTGGAGTTACTTGACTTCTAAATTCCTTTTCTCTCTGGAAATCTGGCCCTGGGGCAGAAAGTTTACGAGTGACAATGATCTGTCTTTTTCTTATTCCCTGATGGCAGGTCTGTGGCAGGGAGCTATTCGGTGTAGCTGGCTGGAAAGCCCTGTGCCAAGTCCTTTGAACAAGAGCAGAGGCTGAGGTCTGAATTATCTGGATGGATTAAATTCAGAGCTCATCAGGACAAGGCCCAGCAAATCGTAGCCTTTTACCTGCTCATACCATACGTGCATAGTCATCTTCAAAAGCATTTATTGCAACTTCTGGGGCATGATTACATATGTAGGAATGAAATGAGCTGGGGCTGCAGTGGGAGCCTTGAAGAAAATGGGGGTAAAATCCATCTGTGCTTATGATCCCAGATACGTGGCCTGATACTGGAGCTGGAGAAAATAGCAAGTGCTTCTTTAGCTGCTAAAGGAAGTGGGATCAAAACTGCTCCCTGCAGAAAGAAGAGATGAGAGATTGCTCCAGTCCCCTAGAGCAGCTACATCAATACATGACGTACCTAAGCATGGCCCCACCCTCTGTGGCTGTCCTCCCTCCCTGGGGAAAAGCCTAGGGTTAATGATAGCCCCAAGCACAATTGCACAAACAGCCCATTATACCCAGCTCTGTGCTATCTAGCTACTCTTGCATTCAGAAATACATTTTTAATGTTCCATTTGCTTAATTCAAAGCTTGTTTAGTCGCCGGGTGCAGCAGCAGATACTGGAGTGCTGTGTTTTACTCTGGATTCTAAAGTGATTAGACTAAGGTGTTATTTATGCATCAAACAGAAACTGTTGAAGGAGATCTGCTGTATTTATTCATTGCCAAGGTAAGGGGGTTTTGGCAGATCTGGGGTTTGCTCCCCACTGGTGCATTTGATGTTCAGCATCTACAGAAGGTGCCCAGAGGATGACACCAGCCAGTACAAACACCAACCAGGGGAAGGCTAAATGCCTGAATCTTATCTAGCCCAGGAACTAAGCTGCTGCTTTCTTCTGCCTCTGCCTTGCTCTGTTTTGCTGTGCAAGTCTCCGCATCCATCACTGTCAATGCCACCCCATGCCCACAAACCATAGGTCCCACGCCAGAGCGTGTGGCGTCCTGGGGCCCTTCCAAGGTTCTTCTTCAGAAGAAGCCAGTCCTGGGTCTCTGTTTTCATCTGAAATCCCCCTGCAATCCCCAGCGCCTTCATTTTTAACTACTGGAACTGCAGCGTGCTGTAACATCTGGGAGCTCAATGAAGGATGGGGCAGCTCCCTCCAGTGACAGCATGAGAAACGGCATCGTACACTGCGGAAAGCACAAATACCCTTCTGGTTACGAAATGTCGCTGCTCCCCAAAATAGGCCATCACTCCCATACAGGCCATGACATGCTGTGCCAGCCTGTGGCCCCACAGCAGCTTCTGACATGATGGTTCACCCAGGGCTTCGAGTCTTCCCAGCAAAACCTCACCGAGCAGCTGGCAAAACGGGCTGCTGCTCATTTCATGTGCTTGAAGGGGCTGTGCCAAAGCTGGTGATGGGGCCTGAGCTCAGCACATGCCAGGCTGCTAAGGGCTGCAGAGTCTGGACATGATGGGACAGGGCTTTTTGGGACAAGAAGCACTGTGGGGCAGCCTGGGGCTGCAGTCCAGTGCGGTGACACAGGGCAGACGCATGCCTCAACGGGGAGCTCAGACTTATCAGCAGACGCAGATTGCACCGCAGCTGCTTTGGACCTGGGGGTTCTCTCAGAGTATCGTTAGATCAATAAGAGGCTGCACATCAGGTACTGATGTTCTGACCCAGCTGAGTTTATGGCCCCAAAAAGTGAGGAGAGGCTCAACCCACTGCACAGAGCCCTCTCCAAATCCAACCTCTGTCTGAATGGCAGAAATGACCTCTGGGAAATCCAACAGTGGGACTGCGAGCCCTTTTTTATACACTAGCAGAATCCAAATTGCTCTTTGAAAAGTTTGGCAAAAAGGGGAGCTTTTTGTGCGTACACAAAGCTGCACCAGCTTGGGTGGACAGGCTGAGCCCCCTGCGCTGGTGGCACTGAGATGCTGCAGGGGGGAAGCCAGAGGCACCGCCCTGAGGCCCCCTCTACCCCCAGCACAGGCATTACAGAGCACTGCAATGAAACAAAAAAGGCAAACTGGCAAACCCGAGCTTGAATCTGAAACCTGGTGCAAAGCCAAGAAATTGCAAATTAATAAAACAAGAGATTAGTTCTCCACCCACCAACATTCCTCAGGCACCCCCCCCGCCTGGCCCCTGACACGTGGCCTCAACTGTGCCAGCAAGAGTCGTGCTTTCAAAGCTGCCCCTCACTCCAAAATGCCTCAGGCTACCTGGTGGACGCTGGGGTATCAGAAGTCTCCCAGTCCTCCCAGTAACTTCAGCTCTTCTGCTAGAGCTCAGCAGCATCGAACAGAAACCGAGTTTCCCATGGACGTGTCTGGCATGGCCTTGCAAGCACCCACGCCCTTACCAGGGACACCTCCCGGGAAGAGTATTCTGGGGTGACTCCTTTGAGGGTGCTCACAGACATCTAGAGGACCAGATTCCACTAAGAGGGTGGGAAGGGGAACTCCTGGTTCAAGCATTCCAGGCAGGCAACTATGCCCTGGGGCACTGCAGGGTCTGAAGCACTCAGAACAAGAGGCAGCATCTTGGGTGACCCTTTTGAGCAAGTTTTTATCATGTAAAAAAAGAAGCAGGTGGCATAGGCCTATCTGCTTTTACGGGTTTGTGCCTCAGCATAGTTTAAGAAAATATTTGGGGCTTGCAGGACCTCTGCTGCCTGAAGCTTTCTGGTCTGTGACCAATTTGAGGACGTATGTGGGATTTCCAGAAAGGTTCTGCAAACACATTGCCCTGTCAGCAACTGGTGACACATGGCTGGTTTTGGTGACATGACACTGATTCTCCAATGCAACATACACCACGAGCCTGGGTGCCTCCTGAGGGCAAAGAACGTGGGGACTCCGAGCTCATGCTTTACACCACATCACCGCAGAGCAGCATCCATCCTCTAATGTCAAATCATTATCTTCACTCCCTGCAGCCCTTGTTAAAACTCTACACTAGGGGATTTCAGAGCTGGATGGCATGCACGAGGATAACTCCATCATATATTGCTCTTTAAAACTTCTGTCAACCATTACCAGGCATTGGAAAAAGAAAATAAGATAGTGATTTCCATCCAAACCGATCAAAAATGGCTTTGAGGGTTTTTTTTTTACCCATATTAGCTTTTTTTTTACCCACTATTTGGTTCAGAACCACTTAAGTTACATGTGATAATGAAAATAAGATGTTTTACTTCTGCTGTGCCCATTTTAACCAGAAGAAAGTGAGGGAAGTGAAGGCCTCATTTGCAAGACTGGCAGGAAGCCACCCTCCTCTCCTTCCTTTCACCCAGCCACTCACTGGATGTGGCTTTATCAGGTGTGGGAAACTCAGCATGGGATAATTGCCCTTCCCAGGAGATTCTGGATCCAACATGTTCCAGATTTGCTCCTCCTGATGCTGTTTTACTACTCATCAGTCAGATGCTTGACATCCCTGGGCATGTTCTAGTCATTACCCAAAAGGGCCATTTGCTGTGGTCCTGTGGGGATATGAACAGCATCATTGGGTGAAAGTCATAATGCCTTCCCACAGATCCTGGTTGTTAAAACTCCCTTTGGCATGGGAAGGATTAAAAGTCCAGTGCCCCATGAGCACCAAAACTGCAAAGAAAAGGTGAAAAGAAAAATTTCCTCCCTGCTTCTTCAGCAATCACTGTTAGAGAGGAGCAACTGGCCCAACCCATTGCTAGGTTGAAATTGGCATCTTCCCTAGACCCCAGTTCTATGAATTTTTGGCTTTCCTTCACAGCTGCTCCCATTGCCTGATATGCGATGGAGATACCTAGATGGCCTGCAAGCATGGTAGTGGGATTGCAATGTGTTTGAAGCATGCTCTCTTTCTCACACAATTTTCAGAGCCTGGGTCATAAAAAGAATGATTTTCACCAAGCAGGAGCTGGACACCCCTGCCAGTAGGTAGCTGTTAGTTGGGGTGCTGTCTCTTTGCACATCCCACCCATTATTAACCCTTATATTTGGGAAATAGGACCCCTTAGAAACCATGATCCCACGCATCCAGCGCGTTCAGGTATCTGGAGGAAGCTGAGTGCCGCCCAGCACGGCACAGCCCAGAGGGTCTGAACCACCGCCTGCCTCTGCCCCAACTCCGCTCACATGCTGAGCATCTCCCAAGGCTGGCAAAAGTAAGTCCAAAACCATCTTTTTCCTCCCCGCTGTCTCAGCCTCACTCCTGTGTGACACTGGAAACCCGCTAATCCTTCAGCTGGCTGAAGACTCCTCTGGGGAAAGTAGGGCAGCCGAACAGTGATGAATGCGGCCCAGGAAAGCAACAAATCTGTTTAAATGAGCAGAGCAAGTTTCCCTGCACATCACAGAGAGTGAGGGGAGGGAGCCGTCTCCCTCCCCGCGAGGGTTTGTCGCAACCACAAACCAAACGCATTAATCCCGCGGAGGTGAAGCTGGCGTGCACATGCGTTGCGCAGGGTGAACGCTGGCAGGGGGGTCCCCAAAGCGGGGGGGGGGACACACATCCCTGGGCTTTCTGAGCAGCTCTGGGAGCCCGGCCCTGCAGCGTGGGCTGCGTTGCACCCCGACCCACTGCCGCTCCGCCGCCGGGAAGGCCGAGGGCTCCCCGAGCGGCCCAGCCGCTTTTTGTTAGTAGCACAGATTTGTTCAGGAAATTGCCTCGAGCCACGACAGGGAAAAAACAGAGGGGAAATGTTTTCTGAGAACACGTTGTGTCACCGTGCGGGGCTTTTTTTGCCAGCTCAGCTTTTTCAGCTGGTGTTCAGGGCAGGGAGGTGAGGTCCTGGGCGCTGCACGGGGCAGGATCTGTCCCAGCCCGGGGAACAGCCCGAAGAGAAGAGCAAACCACGGGATTGCGGGGCGCGACGGCGCTGAACTGCCGCCAAGAGCGGTTTGGGGTGTTTTTAGGGGAACAACCCGCACCCCCCCCCCCCCAATCCCGCTGCGCTGACGCCGGGCCCCGCCCCCCGCCCAGGCCCCGCCCCCAGCCCCTGCCAATCCACAAAACCCCGCCCCTCCCGCATCAGGCCCCGCCCCGGCCCGGCCCCAGGCCCCGGGCCCCGGCCCCGCCTCGTCTCGCAGGGTTCCGCCTCAAGCGCCCGAGCACCGCCCCTCCCCGGTTGCTCTCCTCCGGTTGGACAGCGCTGCCCGCCACTCAGATGCGCGCCCGTCGCCTATTGATGGGTCTGGCGCGCCGCCCGCCTCCCGCGGGCTCTGGCGGCGGCTGATAGGCGGTGGCGGGAGCGGCCCCCCCCCCCCCCCCCCCCCGCCACCGGCTGGGCCGCGGTCGGTGCCTGGCAGCCAGAGGGTCGGCGCCGCCATCGCCATGGGCACCCGCGACGACGAGTACGATTACCTCTTCAAAGGTACCGCCGCCGCCCGCGGGCCGCGCCGCGCCGGGCCGGCCGCGCTGCCTGGCGGGGCCCGCGGGGGCGCTGGGCCCGGCTCGTCAGGCCGCGCTGCCCCGGGCCCGGGGCGGCCGCCGCGGCCTTTGTGCGCGGGGCGGCCTCGCCGGCAGCGCCCGGCGCCGGGGGGGGGGGGCGGCGGAGACGGGGATCCCCGCGGGCCTCGCCCGGCCCCGGCAGCGGGGGGGGGGGGCTGCGCGCTGGCGGCCGGGCCGCGGGGGTCCGGGGCTGGCGTGGGGGAGCGCTGCGGGGGTCCCGCCGGGGGCTGGGGGGCGAGGGGGCTTCGGGCCGGGGGCTGTGCCCGGCGGCGGTGCCGCTGCTGCTGGAGAGATCGCCCGCGGTGGCGAGCCGGAGCCGAAAAAACTCAAGCCTCGGCGGCGAAGTCCTTTGCTTGCTGCCAGCTGGACGTGAGTAACCGAAGCCAGGAAGCTTAGTAGCGTTAATTTGGCTTTGCCTGAGGTTATTTGCGTGTTTCTGTCACCGTGCCTGTGACACTTTGTGTTGTCCAGCAGCTGTGTGCGGGGCTGTGTGAGAACATACGTAACTGCTAGGTGGATTTAGTGCGGGTGCGGTGCTGGCTCAGGTGGTTTTTATTGTTGCTGATGTCCTGCGTGTGCAAAGGTTGCTGCAGGTCGGTGTCCTGCAGGTGGAAAGATGCTCGGGCTGACCTTTTCCCCTGAGTGTCCCACGCTTCTGCCTTTGAGGCCTAAGAAGTAGTGCGGATGGCTGCAAAACATTTACCTTCGTATTTCCCAACCTCTTTTATGCTTGGTCTCCTCTGGTAGCATTCCAGGAACCCTTAGATTCATCCAGAGCTCACCCTTACAAAAGGTGAGGTTGGCACTGCCATCTGTGGGTGCTCGGGTGGTCTAAGAGGGGTGTGGGTGTGCGCTCGCTGCCACGAAAATTGCCCGGGAGTTTGATGTCAGGGTGTTCTGTATGTACCTGAACCCGAACAAGAGCAGCACTTGCTTATTGATGAAAGGAAAGAGCAATTACTCATCTGTTGGAAACATTTTATGGATGTATTTGCCTGTTTGGTGTATTTGTATTATAGTCTTGCAAGATAGCGCGGTGAAAAAAAAAAACAACCCTTATTTCTTCTCTGCCTGTAAAGTAGAAGGCTAGCCTCCCAAAATATGCTAAACTGTCTGGGTCTTAACTGGTTTCCTTCTGAAGTCATTCTACCGTCTACTTCCCAAGGGGTTTAATAGCTGGGAACTTGAAAGCCTAAAAATTTTATTTCTCTTTTTCTTTCTGTGAATAGTCAATTAGGTAGGTAAAACTGTACTCATCTTTAAAAATATGTTGCTTTAAAATACATTTTTAATTTTATCTGGAGTGAAACTTAACCTAAAGCTATTTGGTCAGGAACCGTGCTGTTGTGTTGATACTGCAAAGTAACTTGGCATATTTTGTAGCCCTTATTGAAAAATGTGGGAGAGAATTTTCCTTTTCCGTGCATCTTTTGGGTAGAGGTAGTTGTGTGGATTTTTTTTTTTTTTTTTCAAAATAAACAAATAAGCACACAAAACCCCCCTTCCCTATCTACTCATCTTTTCCTTCCTTCTAGGCTTTTTGGGGCTATGCAAGAAGTAATGAATGTAAATGGGACCAAGCGGGATGAGGTCTCCACTGTAGAACCAACTTCCCTTCCTTTCCCTTTTGTCTCCTCCCAAAATGGAATTAAATATCAAGGGGAATTGACATAATGAAAAAAATCATCTCCAGAGGCTTGATTTGCTTCTGGTTTAGCCCCTTCTTAGCTACATACATGGCTTTTGAACTCTCTTCTATCAGGCATGTGTAGTGGTCAGAGGTAGAAGTGATGGTGGAGGATTGCAGTCTGGGAGAAGTTACTTCTGTTAAATTTAAGTCTTGACAGTTTCCCCTGCCCCCTATTTCCAAGTGAAATTTGGTTGGATTCTGGTTTTAGCTTTTACAGTTAAGCTTAAAAAATTTGCATCCTTGCATTGTAATATTATTTAGGATGACTCCAGCTGAATGTAGTGTAGCTTTAAAGTCACAGTTTTTACTTTTTTACATTTTGGAATAATTGGAAGTCTTGTATAGGAGCTTCTGTCATTTAGCATAGATTATATTAATCAGCTTTATGAAGAGTTTGAAAGGCAATGAGTCCCATTTACTGTTAGTCTCCTTCATGTGAAATACTGCCTATACAACAGTTGTTTGGGGGTGAAAATGGCCAAGGAGTTTGTAGCAACGGTTTCTGTGCGTAGCTGGCTTGCTGTTTTCAGTGTTTTCTTGTTCGCATCGCCTGTCAGCTTGTGCTTCAGGACCGGCCATTTCAATAGGGCCACAGGAGTGACAAACATTATTGGCTTATCGGGTCTAGCACACAGTAGGCCGAAACTAATTTAAGGTTTGGTGGCACTCTGGGGATGCGAGTGTGGTTATAGTCAAAGCTGCTCTGCTAAACTAGTGCCTCTTTATCTTTATTTCCAATTTCCCTTTCTTCTGTGTGCATCCTAACAGTCAGAACTGCTTATTTTATTGATCACTACAAAATGTTTGTTAACAGAATGACTGAGCCAACCTTTGGGAGAACAAGCTGAAGTCTGTATTCAGAGCTGTGTAGAATAATGAGGCTGTGAGGATCTTGTTGTAGATGCATTTCAGTGATGTAACCCAAGCAAAGCCAGCAGTTCAGGGCTCTGTTCCCAACTGATTTTGTAGCTGGGATGGTTAAAAAGCAGGAACTTACCATGATAAGCTTTGATTGGGTTGGATTTGGAATTGAATTCATGACCTTTTAATAGTTGTTAAAACGTTGGAACTCTTGTACCTATTAAAATGTGCTCTGCACATTAATTTTCCCTTCAAGTAGATTAGCTATTATCATTGTTTATTTTAAAAATGAAATTTGAGGTTGTACAGATGTATGCTGGTTTATGAAAAAGGAAGGAAAAGACACCTGTAGACAAAAGAGCTTTCTTTTACCTTTGTGGGAATTTAGACTGCTCTGATTAGAGCTTAAGCCTAACAAAGGCTGTGCTTATTAAAAACAAAGGCATGTCATATTAGTCATCAATATCTGGCAACCTTATATACTTATTTATAATGAACTCTGCTTATGTGGTCTCTGCTAGAGTCTTAATCTTCTTGATTGTTCAAAATAATATATTATTTTTGCCAGATTAATGAAGTAGTGTATTTAAAATTCTATCATAAACTTGATCTTTCTTTTTCCATTTCTTACCAACAATGTATTGCCCTGGATTTTTAATTCTCTCTTTTGCTCATCCTTTGGTATGAAACCGGTGTCTGGGTGGTGGGATTATGCTCTGCTCGGGCGGCTGTAGGTCTGTGTGTTGTGAGGCCTGGGAAGCAGAGTGATGATGGTGCCTGAGATCTGAATGCTTTGCTGTTGGCGGACGGTTAACGTGGTGAATGGTAACCCCCAGACTGGCACAGTGCAGTGGAGAGAGAAAATTGGGAAAGACTGAAGGAGCAGCACCACAATTCTGGATGTAAATGGGGCACTAAGCACGGCTTTGCTTGTGTACTTACAGCCATCTGATGAGGATTGGTGCTGGTTATTGGTTCAGGTCACTTCCAAGTTAAAACCAGTGCATCTTTGCGTTACCAGTGTGGCCCTAAAGGCTGTTTAGGGAACATGACTTCCATCAATTCTGGTAAGATGTGTTTAGGGAGTATTCAGACTCTTAGATATGATTTGGAACTTTCTTCTCTATGCTGTTGAGACTTCTGCATTTGAAAAGGCAATGATGTCTGATGGTCTCTTCCCAAATTCAGGAGCTTTCCCAAGATCTAATCACTTAGCCCAGAATTTTGAAGGTATCTTCTTGTTCATTTCCCATAGAAAATAAAAGTTGGTGGGTTCCATCTGCATGTGAGCCTCCAGTCTTTTGAGTCTTTTTACTGAAAGTGAAAGTGCTCATTTAATACTTAAGATTGAGAATTAACAAGAAGCACTTAGAGACTGTAAGATAGGGAGAACATTATTTACCGAGTTGGGATCTGGTTGCCCTCCTTCATTACTTCTGCATCCCGTAACTTCTCAAAAATGCTCACACAAACTGTGCTAGAACAGGGGGGAGCCTGGTGCTTTGCTGTCAGATTGAGCAGAGGTGAGTAACCTGCTAAAGTAGTGCAGGAGCCCCTGGATTTTCTTCCTGTAACAGATGGAGTTAATGACCTGGAATCCATTTGCACGGTTTATGCACAAAGCCGATAATTTTTAAATGCCAGAGGATAGGAGGTGGCTAGAATGTGGAGAGGCGGCTGTATTCTCTTGAGTTGCAGATTCATGAGAAGGTAACTCCCTTCAGAAACAGTTGGAAGCTTCAGGATTTTTCAAAGCTTTGTGTAGTGGATGGGTAGTGTAGTGGTTTGTGTAGTGGATGTTCGTACCTCCTCCTGGTTATGGTCAGGGCTTTTCTGTAGGGTACAGGCTACTCCAAGCCAGCAGATCACTGTGCAAGATGGGTGGGGTGACCTTTGGCCCATTCTTGGAACCTTCTGTGGAATTAGTGATGAAAAACTGTTTGTCTGGAAAGTAAAGCTAACAAAATCCTAGAGTTAGAACTTGTTATAAAATCTTTTATATATCTGTTCTCATACCCTAAAAAATAGTTCAGGCTGTTTGCCAGTGAAGGCAGAGCACTGTGTGGAGCTGATTTAAGCTATACTGGGTGGAGAGTTGTGGCACCCTGCCACGATCCACTGGCTGCCCATTCCTGCTGCCCTTGTATTTTGACTGTTCAGCTGTGCTAGCACAATTGCCCGTCTATCTGTGCTGTCAGCCGGATGAAATGCTTGGGGGGAGTCCGGAGCATTTCAGCAATCTCCCTGTGCAGCTTGGGAGCTGTCGCAGCAAAGTTACAGCAGAGGGCTACAGCAGAAATTTGGGAATGTGCTAGCCAGGGGTGGGGAGGTACGTGAGCTGGAGCTGTGTGCTGCCAGAGCTGTATCTTGGATCAATGGCCTGAGCAGAAAAAAGCTGTAGTAACACTAAAAGACGAGTATGATCCCTGGCCCTGGGAGAAGGCTGGTGTGGAAGTGTGTAATGAGAAGAGGCTTCTGTCATCTGTTGTGGAGGGATCAGGAATGTTTTCTGTGCGTGTCTGTTTTTCTGTAGGAAAACCAGATCATATGAATGAGGAAGATCAACAAATCTGTACTTTGAACTGAAGTAGGAAATATTCCCAAGGTTGAAGAAACCTCACTGAGACTGCTTTTCTTCCTTCTGCTCAAGCCATGATACTGTTACCATGAATACCAAAGCCATATATGATACAGCATTTGCTGAGACTAAGGGAGGATGGCTTAATTGCTTTTAGTCTCGTTTTCCTTTAGTTATTACTTGCTCTGGTCAGTAATACAGGGATTTAAGAAAATGTGTGTAGTTGCAGTAGCTGCACAGTAAAGACCCTCTTGTAGCACATCGTGGCACTGGAGTTGTTGATGAGAAGGTCTCGTGGACCGCAGTCTAGTGGGGCTGGCTGGGAAGCAGCAGGCAGGCTGCTGGAGCAGGAATGGTGGAGAGGTGTGCCCCAGGGTCAGCAGAGAGCTTCAGCCCCAAGGCAGGGGGAGGCTCCTGCTACAGGACGGACCTTTTGTTTTCACAATTCCTTTCAGCAGAGCTGGGTTTTATGTGCTAAAGATCTATCTGCACTAACATTTTTCTGTTAACATGGCAACACCTTGTGTGGAGGCAGAGATTTTTAGCTCATCTTTTACTTCTCATACAATCTACTAGAACTCATTTTGCTGGATGAAGTTCTGCTTTGCTCTGTATCTTCTTTGTATGATCAAACGTTCTCTATTTTCCCCTTTCTGTGGTGAACATATTCATGAATTAAATACTGAAATAAAACATCCTGTATGATCCCAACAGGAATGGCAAATAATTGTTTACTTACTGTGTTGGGTTTTTTAAAATAAAAATAGAGTAGGCTTATTCTGTACACAGGCTTTTGTCAGGCAAACAGGCAGCCTGTTGTCATGTTCTTGACTGTAGTGTTTCTTGAATTGTGGGTTGCAGCCTTCCTCTGCAAAAGGTCTGGTTTGCAAGGGACATCTAGTTACCTCTAATTATTGGCGATGGCTTGAGGCCTCCAAAGCAATGTGTAGCTGTTGACAGTCACTATAGCAATTTCTCATTTCCATCTCTGAGGAGCTGAGAAGCTGCTAGCAACAAAAAGACTTAGAGTTGTTTGGGGCTGGGGAAGCAAGGCGTAAAGCCTGAGGTGTCAGCGTAACTTTCTCCTGTGTTTTTCTGGCTGCACAGCTCCCCTGGGCCCTGCCTGAAAGTCAGCATAGCAGCCAGGTAGCACCACTGTACTATGTAAATGCTGGTATGAATAATTAATTTTGAAAATAATGTATTTTCTTTCAGTTGTGCTGATTGGTGATTCTGGAGTTGGGAAGAGTAATCTTCTGTCACGTTTTACACGCAATGAGTTCAATCTGGAGAGTAAGAGCACCATTGGGGTGGAATTTGCCACCAGGAGCATCCAGGTGGATGGGAAGACGATAAAAGCACAGATCTGGGATACTGCAGGACAGGAACGATACCGTGCCATTACCTCAGCGTGAGTACTGTGTCTTTGCTCAGGCTAACAGCAGCATTCTAGCAGAGATGGTACAGATAAATTTATGGGTAGAGAATTAATGAAACATAGTTGGGACGTAGGATAAAATCATTACGACAGACTTCAGTGTAGATCCAAGTCATGAGATAGCAAATACTTTTGTGTTCCTTGGTTAATATAATGAAAGTAATTTATAGATTCTAATGATACTAGTATAGAAAAAAAATGACAGTTTAAATCAAAAAGTGTGGGAAATTCTGTTTGAGTGTCGTGATTTGGGGTTTTCACCTGCCCTGGATGTGCTATCTTCACCACATGGAATGAGTGTAATTTCTGATGGAAGCTGGGTACTGTTTGGCACCAAGTTTTGGTCTAGTCATGGTAGCTTACCATAACACCAAGTGACTTCTGGTCTTCATTGTCCCCTCACATCTTGAGATGGAGGTTTTTTTGAGGGCAGTCTGCAGCCACAAACTCCATTGAAATCTCAATGACTTTGAATTAGTCACAGCCCTAAAAATTAGGTCTAAGAGTGCATGCTGAATAACCAGTAAGTAGAAAGGCAACTGTGATAATGCTGACCTTGCAGCATTAGGCACATGCCTATTTAGAACAGTGGTGTTGAGAAGCTTTCATGTACAGCAACTTGTTAATCCGGGCAGTGTCTTAAAATGTAACCTCTGGGTGTATCTCTTTCTATGCAGGTAGTAGGCAAAAATATCTTTGAGGGGAAAAAACCCCCAAACAACCTATTGGCAGGCCTAGTTATCCAGGTCATATTCTGATCAGTGAGTTGAAACCTTTTAGTGTTAGGGATGTATATCAGTTTTTTAAAGGTACAGACTTGTTTCTGAATCGTGCACAGATTGAGCCATTTGTATTAAACTCAAGGTAAGGGGAACTTTTAATTGAGGTGAAATTGGGTAGTGCAGAATAGATGGGAGAAAATAGAAGAGCATGGAGCCCAAAGGGGTATATGCATAGGGAACGAATGCAAAACCAAAGTAATACAGAAGCAGATGTAAGTGATGATTTTAAATTTCATCTTTTCCATAACTGTTAGTGTGTTTTTCAGAAATTTTTTTGTGACCCTTAAATTGTTCTTACTGCTGTAAATGCTTAGCAGAAAAATGCTTAGCTGTCTGACTCCAGTTCAACAACAGACTTGGCTGATGAGAATCAGTGCATCTGTAGTCCTGTGATCCTACTTCTCCCTTGCGCTGGCATGAACTCTTGCTTGACACGTCACTAGGCCAGTTCAGCTTGCTAAGCCAGCAGAACACCAACCAGCAGTAAAAAGTGAATGTTTTGTGCTGATGTGGTGCCCTGAATTGGTTCAATGATGTGTTGGACAGGTGCTGGCAGAGCAGAGGAGAAATGGTAGGACTGTGTGGGAGAGAGATGTGGACATTCTAGGATTGCTGATACAGTTTGGCTTTTGCTGTCCTGAGCCCTTGGCTTGAATTGAAATGGGCCCAAACCTGCACTGACAGCAAACTCTGTTCTTGGATTATGGGCTTGTGGATAAGTGTCAACATAGCCCGGAGTCCCCCTCTTTAGTTTTTAAGAGGGACAGAAGGTATTTGAAAGATCAGCCACAAATACTGACATTTTACTAAGGATTATCTTCCTAGTAGAAAAGTAAGTTATAACTTAAGAAAAACCCTCTAACACTACCGATTCTGAAATGCATTGTGAGTTTTCTTGCACACTGTTTTAGCAGACTAAAAATGTCATGGCTTCCACAGCCTCTTCAGCATTTTGTTACATACATGGTATTTTTTTAGGAACGTCATTAAAAAAACGCAGCCTTGGGAACCTGGTTTTAGACTTAAAAAAACCCCAACAACAGTATTTGCATCAGTACATCTTTTTCTGAAGCAGGGGGAATGTTTTTAATGTTTAGTAATAATCAGTATAGAAGTGCCAGGTACCAGGTTTGTTGGTATAACTTGGCAGAGCTCTCTGTAGGGGAATGTGCTTTATGGTTTCAGGTATTACCGTGGTGCTGTTGGGGCTCTTCTTGTCTATGACATTGCCAAACATCTCACCTATGAGAATGTGGAACGCTGGCTAAAGGAGCTTAGAGATCATGCAGACAACAATATTGTCATCATGCTGGTGGGTAACAAGAGTGACCTCCGCCATCTGAGAGCTGTGCCCACTGATGAGGCCCGGGCTTTTGCAGGTTTGTAGACAGTGTGTTCTGGGTTGGTGCTCACTGAACTTGATGGTGTTGGTGCAATCTGTAATCGCACTGTTATTATCCAGGACTGAACTTTCACTTCAAGGTTTATTTTTGACCCCAAAAAAGTAATTTAAGATTTTTTTTTTTTAATTAAAATATCTTGTCTTATTAAATAGCATGTGTGGTTATGGATTTTTCTGCCTTTTTTTTCTCTAAATCTAGTGGTAGTACATGTTTTTGAAACACTGTCCTTGAGCTGCCTGATAGCTGAAGATTAAACACTTCCTCTAGCAAGGCTGGAAACAGTAAGCAACACTTAGAAGATAAAATGTCACAATATAAATACAAAATATCACAACACAAAATGTCTTTCCTTCCTTCCTAGAGGCCTGGTTCTACTGAGTACATATCAATGTGGACAGCTGCAAATGAATACTGAACCTTCTCTTAGATGGTGTAGTTTCTGCTCCAGAGCACTGATACATGCAGTAGTGTCCTCTAGTTTCATTTAAATGCAGTGATCATCAGACTTGGAGATTATCAGTTGTTCAGAGAAATCAAATGGGTTATGTGAGCTGCTGCCACTGCATTATGTCTCCCTCTTCCTTATCTTGCAGAGCACTGGTCAAACACTCTTTTGCCCTTATAGGCCTAGGGACATTCAACTTACTTTTGTGTGACTGTCAAGCTTGGAGGTGGACTTTAAATGTATAGCCTTTAAAATCCTTCTAAGAATAATACTTGGCTGGCTTATACATGTTTTCTGAAGTTTGCTACTAAGCAAGTACCCTGTGGTTAGTAAAACCACTTTAAATTTTCAGATGAATGAGAAATGAAGTTTATGTAACAGAAGCAAAACAAGTTAGTAGGCACCCTAGATAGTGCATTATTTTGGTCACTTGGTTCAACATACTATTTTTTGTCCCCAAGTTCCTACAAAGGCTGTTTTAAATAGCTAGTGATGGTATAGGTGTTGCCGTTTAAGCTCTATCACTCAAATTTGCCTGTTTCTGGGCAGGTGGTATGGTACGGTTCTAGGTGTGATGTTCGGTTATTAATTACAATATTTATTTTTGCTTTTAATTAAAAAATACATATATTTTGCATTGGAAGAGGAAAGAAGAAAATAGACTGTATTAGTAGGGGTTTTATTGTAAATTGGAGTTGGGGTCTGATTAGGAAAGTGTAGGTCTGTTTATCTTTTTGGGGTTTCAGAGGGGAATTGTGACTCCTGTTACAGCCAACATGCTTTTGCCAGTGCTCTTACTCAAGATACTTCTAGGTGTGATCTGTATCAAGATGAGAATAATATTCTATTGCTTGACTGGACAAAGGCTGCAGTGAGGAAAATGTTCTCACACTGGAAAGGCAGTGGTCAAAGGTGATGCTGCTCAAACACTACCTGCTAAATAAATGGTGCACCAAGTTGTTGCTGGTGCAACGGGGGAAAAAAAAAAAAAAAAGACTATGCCCCAGCTGACTTGGCCTAGAAATAAAGGTAAAAACCTCAAAGTGAAATAAAGTGCTATTAAAGTTTTTAACTGAACCACTTGTTATTTGTTACAGAAAAGAATAACTTATCTTTTATTGAAACTTCCGCTCTGGATTCAACAAATGTAGAAGAAGCCTTCAAGAACATCCTTACAGGTATGGTTTGTTATGGATTCAGAGGTAGTGGATTTTCTTTATGGGTGTGTTTTGCAGTTATCTGGAATGCTTTGGAAATGAATGTTGGGAATGATGGTTAGTTTGCAAGCCTTCTAATCTTACCTGTGTGTTCTGCCTCCCACCCCACACATACATTTCTGCTCAAGAATCTGATGATTTCTAGTCTCCTGATGTTTGATAAATTCAAGCTACTGTGATAGCACTGTTTTAAAGGCACTAGTAGTTCTATGTCTGCACAAAATCTAGGCAGTGAAGCCACAGCCATTCTAGGAAGTTAAATATTCCAGTGTGTTCTCTTGCACCAAAGCAGACTGGTAGATTTTTTTTGTCTAAACTACTGAACTCTTGTTCTCAGCTGATGGCAAGGGTTGTAGCTGCATGCAGGCTGCCTCCTGGGAACGTCCCTGAAGAGTTTCAGGAATTGTCTAAGAACATGATAGTGGTCACAGGCCAAAATGAAGCCAGGGCTTATGACTTCCACCACCCAAGAACGTTCCTCAGCATGTAAAACTGCTGTAGACGTGGCTACTGAGTGCACACTGTCCACAGGCAGCTTCAGACTTGCTGTATGTGTGGGAATGCTACATGGCTCATGCAGTAGGTCCACTGCATGTAGTATCTGATGTATTCCAGGTAGTAGACCCTACTACTTGGTTTTTTTCCTCTTTCAGACTAGGGTTTAGAATTTCCATTCCTTAAGATGGAGCTGTTGCCTGAATATATTTTCTTGGCCCTGGAGTAAGGAAGCACCCTACTGCACATGAGGTCTCGGATTCACCAGTAAAGCTTTATTACTGTAGGCACACCAGCAAGTCCTCCTTACTGTGCTAAGCTGTGGCCAAAGCACTTTTGTTAGGCTCACAGGGATTTCCAGATGGTGTTTTGCAAATCTGAGTTGAGTGCTCATTTGGCCTCTCTCTGGAAGAGTGCAGCTCTGTTCTAGGCTAAATGCAGCACATGGGGAACTTGCAGGTTTCCTTCAAAGTGAGGTTGGCCAAGAAGCGTGAGTTGTATGGTCATGAGGTAGGAGGAAGAGGAAGGACAGGGTTGAAGTGGTAAGGATATATCCTAGAAGGATATGTAACCTAAAGGCAGTAGAAGTGGGAACCACACAGAGCAAGATAGATGCTTAAAATAAGTGCTGCTCACCTCTGTGTTGTTACTTCAGTTGAGATGGGTAACTTTTCCCGAACTTGGGGTTTGGCCTAATCTTACTCTTAATTTTAGTTAGGCTTTAGTTTATGAGTGTGTCAGCGCTGTATGCTTCAGCACTTGGTGTTCCAGAGGATGTATTATTTTGGCACCTGTCTGAGGTGATTGCATTTGGGTAGCTCTGTGCCCGAGCTAATCCTCAGAAGCAGAGTCCTGGGAAGCATGCTGCTGCCATACCCAAGGGTATCTGAAGGAAACCAGCATGGGACTGCTGAATTGGAGCTAACAAACCCTGATAAACTTGAGTATCTCTGCTTTCAGAGACTGCCTTCCACTGTGTGTTCTGCAGTAGCCTATCTCAAAATACTGTTCAAGGTGACAGGGAGGTCGATGTTTCAAAGCATGCTCTTCCACTCCTAAAATAAAGTAATTGTCAAAGAACCCTTAAAAATCATACCTAAATAGGAAGAGGGCTATCAAACAGGTATTGGATTACTGTTCTACCTCTGACTGTCCCATGAGATCTGAACTTATCCTCATGAGGGGAAAACACCATATAATTTGTCAGTGTGTTTGTTCTATCTCTTGAAAAGCTCTTTAAGGTCCATATTGTGAACATGAAGAATCAGCAAGATCTAACTCCTGACTATTCCTTACCATAGCTGAATTCTAGACCAGTAAACCGTCTCTATAATCTCACTCCTGGATACTGTTTTGTGAAGTCGTGCCTGACTTACATGCCCCACAACATCTCAAGATGAGCATTTTTTGAGCTTCACTGTGACCAGATACTGATTTCGGTTAAACAAGAATAAACCTTTGTTTTGGTTCTACTTAATTATGAAGAAGTGTCTGTTATATGTTGCTTACTGGATGCTGACCAAAGGATTGGCTTTGTATTGTTTATTGATTTTGTATGAGTGAAAGCCTATTACCAGGAAAAAAAAGCTGAATTTTAATATGGTGAATTCGGTAAGGCAGGCTCTTCTAGGTTTCTTTTGCAGAGGTGTGCAGGGAAGCAGAAAGAAGTGTTGGGATCGCTAGGTCTGGTGCTGACCAACCCTGTTGGTAGCAGAAATGTGTTGCAATTAGAGGAAGATGACCAAGAAGAAGCAGGCAGGAGAAAAGGATAGCCAAGTTGCTCATATAAGTACAAGCTTTCCACACTAAGAATGGGTTCTGTTTGCTGCCCAGCAAGATTTGTGTTATTAGAGTTACTGGCAAAGCAACTGGAGAATACTGCTGTTGAGACAAAGCCGTGGAGAAGACTACCTGGTGCCTGAGCTGGGACTGTTGCTTGCACAGGGCAGCCTTACAGAAGATTGATTGCTTATCTGTGACGCTTGGCTGGATCTAAGGCAACTTACGTGGTGCTTTGAGATGTTCCATTGTTTTAGGGCTCAGAGCATAGTTTAGCAGTTGCCATCCATCCTGTATTCCCTTGCAGTGTTGTCCTGAGACTGGCCCTGGGTAGAGAAGATGGCCTAAGGTGCTCTAGGAGAGAGCCCCAGTATGGTCTGCTGTAACAGATAAGATACTTAGGGAGACAGAACTGGAGCTGAGTTCAGACCTGGGAAAACTGAACTCAAAACACTATCTCTTAGAAGCATCCTGGGCTCTCAAAAGTGCTGAGTTTGTCCAGTTCAGGTACAGTGGGGCTGTGGCTAGTAAAACTGAGTAGTCCTGAAAAGGCTAGTCCTAAAGTGAGGAGAATCATCCTTCGAAGGGAGGAGAAGAAACCTGGAAAAATGGGCTGTGTAGAGCAGTGAGTTGGGAACAACTGCGGGAGGAGGGCGGGAGCAACAGGATGGGAGTTTCCTTACTGGCTACCAGTTTGAGGGATCACTAAAAAAAAAAAAAAACCCAAAACAAAAAAAAAAAACAAAAAAAAACAAAAAAAAAAAAAAAAAACAAAAAAAAAACAAAACAAAACCCCAAACAGATGCTACTGCAAAGAAAAGAGGGCTTGGCAATGACTCTGGACAGCTAGTATTAAAATACACCACTGAGCACAAAAGAAGGGGGATGTGACAATCTCTGTACCGCTCTTCTCATCCCTTTCAGCAAAAAGAGCTGAAGGTAGCCAGTGGCAATGAGATCAGTCTTTGGTTAAAGGTTTCCATTTTAAACAATGCAAATATGTGCAGCTTCTTTTTTTTTTAAAAAAAGAACAACAACAAAACCAACCAAAACCCACATAGTCCCCCATGATTTTTAATTCTTACGGAAGACTTAATGTGTTGCTGTTTTGAGGCTGGGGCTGCATGAATGTGATCGTAATATTTACTGTGGACTTCCAGGGAGGAGCTTGCCCTTTTCCTGTCTCACAATGGAGGGAAGTTGGAACAAGGGCTTACAGTCAGTGAAATAAGTGATTTAAAAACCTTTCAACTTAAATTATTTCTACTAACTGTAGTTGAAATGCTTTGTGTCTGAAAGCTTTTAACCTGGCAGTCTCTCTTCAGCAATTACAGCTCTGTGGATCTGTGTGCTCTCAGGCGTAAACTCATTTGAGTCAAATTAATTATCTCAGGAACAGCATTTTTAGATCAACATGGGTCTTTATGGAACCATGTGGCTTTTTACCGTCATAGGTGGGAAAACTGATTTGTTGCAGAGAGTAGGCATTTCTGTCGTTTGGTAGTAGTGGCTTGCCAGAAGCTAACGCGTGAAATAGGTAGTCACTGCTGCTGTGCAGTGGTGTTTTGCGAGCATTCTGTTGATTGGTGTTTCTAGATTGTTGCCCATTTTTTGTGTATCAAAAATAAGATGAATCCCTGTTTTATAAATGAGCATTCCTGCTCCTTTTTTGTTTAAGAAGCCTGTTAATAATACCCATGTTCATGGAGTCGTTGAAAAAGAGCAGGATAGGAAGTGCTGTTGTGGAAGACAGTAAGGAATCTCGTCTTGATAACTTTTCCAGACAGAGCTGGCGCATCCACTACAGATCTGGAAAGCCAGCCAGATGTTACGTGTCACAGCGGGTAAGCCTAGATTCCCTTTCACAGCTTTCAAGTTAAAATCTTCTCATTCTTGGGTTCTAGCATCTTCTTTGGCAGCTTGCTCTGCCATGTACATGTGCTCCGTTGGAGACAATGTCTTTCTCAGCTCTAACAGCCTGTTCTCGTTTCAGAAATCTACCGCATTGTTTCGCAGAAGCAGATTGCAGATCGGTCTGCGCACGATGAGTCTCCTGGCAACAACGTAGTCGACATCAGTGTCCCACCAACCACCGATGGACAGAAATCCAACAAACTCCAGTGCTGTCAGAACCTGTGACCTCCTGTAGATGACTCTTGTGCCCTTCACGTCGTCTGTGCTTCATTTAGAAACTTGTGCGCACTTCCTATCTTCTGTGATTCAGTGACTCCCTCTTCCCTCCTTTACCCTATTTCCAAGTACCCCCTTTCATCTTAGAGCTTTAATCGTAGGGCTAACGTTCCTCTGCCTCCGAAATCCCCTTCAATGTGGTGACTTTTGGGCTTGAAATGTAGGCACTGATCTAATAGGCCTGTTTGTGTTGAAACATCTGCTGCTAGGTATTATCCCATGAAACACCCTCCTCAAATGTTGGGTTGTTGGGTTGAATTTTTTGTTTGTTTTGTTTTTTTTTTTTTTTGGGGGGGGGGATGTTTTTTGGATCCTGGGAGAGAAACCATGGGGACTTGACTACCAGTTGAAGAAATAACTACATTTAGGTGACAAGGTTTTTTCCTCCCATAGGAAAGTCTTTTTTCTTGTGTTTCTGTAAACATGGGGGAGAAATTAAAAGAAAGTAGCTATCCTGCCAAATGCTCTGTTTTCTGTCCTGATAAAGTCTCACAGTGAGGTTTTTAGTGGCTGCACACACATAAGAAAGATGTTGAAAATAACATTACTTATTATGTAATTACCCCTAATACAGTTAGTCTGGCTGTGTAGTTTACCATTTCCTGCTTGGGAGATCTTTCTCTTGTTTTATTTGGGAACAATGAAATATGTCTGCATTGCTTTCTCTGCCACCATGAATGCCTGTGCTGCGTGTGCAGGCTTTGTGAAGTGGATTAATATTTATTCATGGCTTATGTTAATCAGTTAACATTATTGTACAGTAAGTGCCAGCATATTGATTTCAGAAACCTTTTGCAACCTGTACAAGTAGGCTTATTTTGTAATTGTAGGTCAGTGTCTGAAAGCAGGGTCTTCTATAGTTCCAGGATTTTTTTGCATGCAGCTTTTTCTCTAGATCTTTCCTACCCCTGTTTGAGTGAGTGAAGCAATATTTTCATGTCATGTATATACCTGCACTTGTAAGGATTTTGGTTGTTGTAGAGACACACAATACTTTATACATTTTGTAAAACTTCTGCAGAACCATAGCATCTTGAACTTTCTCTTCATGATCTTTCACTATTGACCTTGTGCATAATCTTCTTGACCTTTACTAAAAAGCGTAATACTAAGATTTCACATAGTAACTACTAACCTGTTATTTTCCTCTTACTCTGTTTTACTGAATTGCAGACTAATTCTCAAATGATTGTTTGTCATATGATGTAACAGATTTGTCATCAGCAGGGCTAACTACTATAATACTTTGTTATGCTGAATGGGAAGAATGTTACCACAACATGTGTATTCAGTCTCTTGCTAGCTTGTGAAAATCTATGATGACTTTTCATCATTCACTAGCTCTTGCACACTTACATACCCTCCGGTATATGCTTAATGTTATGATGAGGCAAATACTGGGTGAAACTATCTAAAGGAAGAGTTGGAGACCATCTGCTGCTCTCTGAAGGCTAGTGAAGCAACTTGCAGTGAATCTTTGCTCTGTATTCTGAGACTGTACCTCACTTGATGAATCCTACCTGCATACTAGTGAGTTGATTTTTTTTTTTTTTTTTTTTTTTTTGTCTGATACAAAGCAAATATGAAACTGTTAATTGTGCTTGAAGGGGAAATCTGACATTCCAGTCTCCATTGTTCTGTCTGGTTATGTAATAAAATTAAGGGCGGTTAAATCTGATGGCTTTTCTTTATAAGATTTCCAGACCAATGCCTTTAATTTTGTATTGCATGTACCTAGAGCACTACAGTTCACAGCAAAGGGTGCATGTGGTACCTAGCACTTCCACTTTTCAACTTTGTTTAGAGGGTACATTCAGGGTGAAGGGTTGCATGCTTGAAGCCTAATCCCATTGAATGAAGGTATGAATTCCTCTTTAGGCATCACAGTACTTAGTCCTGAGGGGATCCCAGTGTGGAAAGCACTCAACACTTGGTATTTACTTCAGTAGCATCCTGTTGAGAGACGATGCAGCCAGCGGGAACTGGAGATGGCTCCTTTTTGCTGGTCCCAGACCAGAATGTGACGTGCAGTCAGTATTTAGAAAGCTAGCAGATGAGCACACCATCAGAGAGAATGGAAAATTCTGAGATACTGAAAATATTTCTTTCAAGAAGAGGTGGACACTAGTGGAGCGGGGCTCCTTAATTTTTGAACAAAACTTTTTATAAAGAAATTAGTTGAATAGCATGAGGAAGAATCATGCTGTTAAGACTTATGAGTTCAGGGTGATGTATTAATGTGTTTACTCTGCAAATCCTGTTCTTAACATGATGTTTCTGGAATCAAGCTGGCCTGGTATACAAAGCTGAGAAGCAGTTTAGTCGATTCCTTGTCTCTTTTAAGAGACTTTCTTTAGTCTCTGACTCTGTGGAAGGCTCTAAACTTTGCCTCAGAGTGCCAACAAAAGGTTCATGTCTAAGGTTTAAGAGCTGTTACATTACATGGGTCTTGAAGAGACCTTGTACAACTTTATTGTGTGTTGACCAAAGTCCCTCTCAAAGCAGGTGGATCTTGGATCCATACTGTTCATCTCAGCGAGGTTGGGTTGTTTTTGAGATCTGCTGTGTGATGTGGAAAGGCTTACTGCCTTTTGCTGCATGACTGTTTGGTATATCCTAGATGTGGGAAGCATCTGTGTGCATGCATATGTGCATACATGTACATTATGTGAGCATAGACGTAAATTAAGCAGTAGTTTTATCTGCTGTGGTCACTCAGTTTCTTAGACCAGGTATCGACTCTCTGAGATTGCTGTGCTGTTCTCCAGGCAGTGAGAGATGCAGCCCCTCTGTGGGTTTGAGATGGTCTTGCCTAGACTAAGCCCAGGGCCATTAGTGCCAATAGAAAAAGAGCAGTGGACCGGTTCTGCCTGATAAAACCATCTTCCTGTGCATAGCCAGGGGAAAACGCTTTTGATCTTGAGTACCCTGGTGTCCTGCTTGAAAGCACTGCGCACTCCTCGGAAACTTTAGCTACACCCCAACCCACTGTAGGTGATGGCTACTGAAATTGCAGAGGGGAAGACTCTGAGGAAGCTTGAACTGTTGAAGAGCTGTCTGACATTCAGAGAAGCTCTCCAGTAGGCCAGGCTCCTTAACCATGCTTTCCTGATGTGAAATAAGTGAACTGTAACCTCACCTGGACTGCTTCATACTTCAGCTTTGCCGACTCTGTGTCTCAGTATTACTGTCAGGAAAACTGAAAAGATTCCAGCTCTCTTCCATCTGCTGTAAGAGTTTTGAGGGCAGAATTTGGCTTATGTAAAACACCTCATGACAGGAAAGTTGCCTGTGAAGGAAGGAACGTGTGCTATACTTGCTTTACTTGGATGTTGAGGATGGCTTTAATTTATCTATTGAAAAATAACACTAAAAAGCACTGGGTGATTACCACCCAGTGTCAGTAATATAAACCTCAGTTGAAGGCTCCTGCTGATATTTAGAATAGGTCTTCCAGTGCAGAATTAGTTGTCTTTTCTGTTAACTACTGTGTTTATTATGGGGAGAGTAAAGGCCAAAATTCACACACAAAAGTGACTTGGTAGTGAGCACACAAATAGGTAACTGGTAAAATAAATTTATTGGCTAGACTGTCTCAATCTAACTTCCTTTCTTCTTCTTGAGTCAGATGCTTACAGACTAGGTGAGTTAGTCTGGGATCTCCACTGGAGTTTGTCTGTAGCCTCCACAGGACTAAGAGAGTTTGGTTCATGGGAAAGTTTTAAAGCTCTATACTTGTATAAATGTAAAAATCCAATTGGTGAGTGAGTGCCTGCTGCTCTGTTCAGAGTGCATACAAAAAAATCTTCTGAAGACAACCAAAATTTGGTAGAAGGCGCTGATCCCTTCTTCCTTCTGTGGCTGCTCCTCAGCACTTCTAGCAGGTTAGAAGCAGTAGAAAGACTGTTGCATCCTAGGGATCCCCCCACTTGGGTGCCGTTCCGTTAGATCACTTGTAATGACCCCCCAGCACGTGGAAAGGCTGGTAACGGGGTATTCTTGTGTGAACAGGAGAGAGCTCTCAGCTGGCCATGCCAGGATGGTGAGGGTTGATCTGTGCCTTTCATTTGGGGAGGTCACTTACCAAAAGCTGCTTGGAAAAAGGTACAGTAGGTGTTTTCACTTCCTGACACTTTGATTTCTGCATGCTGTACTGTTCTAGAAGTTGTGGATGTGATCTGTTTGTGGGCTCTTAATGGTTGAGTCTTACCTGTGCTTGGTGACTGTTTCCCTTCCAAGCATGAAGAACTTGCTTAACGGTTCTGGACTCTGTGCAAGAAAAAAGATCCTGATGAAGCGATTCCGTCACTTAGGGGGGTCTTTTTCCTTCATAGAAAAAACTAGGAAAAACAGTATTAAAGGTAGGGGCCTGAACTTCAAATAAGAAAAGAGAAACCGGGCAATTAGAGGTGAAGACTAACTGTCCAAGTAAAATCCAATGAGTCAGGGCTGAGGTTGGATTCTCTTGACTTACAGACTCTTTACAGAGTCTTAATAGCTAATACAGTTTGAATGGCGTAATTAATGGAATGTTTCCATGAAATTAGTGTCTCCAGGGCTGCAGTGTTTCAATAAATAAGAGTAATTTTTATTTTAAGCTGGTCAGATAATGCACGGTAGTGTTGTCTATCAGGCTTTGTAGGCTATAAATAGCACTGGACCTTTACGCAACCCAGAAGAGCAAGCGGTTCCTTTCATTTACTTCCTGGCTCCTGTGTTAAGTGCAATTCACTTTGTAAATATACACATCACTTGATATTTTTTTTTTTTTTTTTTTTTTGTGCATGGTTGATGTATTATGGATATAAAGATTGCCAAATCCTACCGTGTGTGTAAAGTTCTGTTCCAAACACAACTGTAGAATAAAGTGGGAGCGTCATTTTGGACCTGGTGTCTTGCCAGCTGCGAAGCCGAGGCGCGGGGGGGGGAGCGGCGGGTGCCCCGGGGGGGGGGGGGGGGGGGGGAGCGGCGGGTGCCCCGGGGGGGGGGGGGCGGTAACGCCCCTCGCGGGAGCGGTAACGCCCCGCGCCGGGGCGGGGGCGGGGCTGGGGGCGGGGCGCGGCCGTCCTGCCGGCTCGCTATTGGCCGGCGGCTGTTGCCGGCGTGAGCGCGTCGCGACGCCGGGCCGGGTTGCGCACAGCCCATGGGGGCGGGCTGGCGCTTACGTCAGCGCAAGTGGGGCGCGGGGATTGGCGGGCGGCGGCGACGGCGCCGTCAGGGGGGCGGGAGGGGGCGGTGCCCGGCGGCCGCAGGAGCCGGCGCTGGGGCGGCGCGCGCCGCGCTGAGGGGCCGCGGGCGCCGGGACCGCAGGTACCGGGCGGGGCGGGGCGGGACCCGCGGGGCGCCGGGGGCAGCGGCCGCCGCTCCGCTCCGGGTCGGGGGCCGCGCCCTGCCCGCCGCCGGTGCGGGGCTGCGGTGACGGGAGCCGCGTCCCGGGCGGGCCGAGGCGGCCGGGCCGCGGTCTGGCCTCCCCGGGTGTGTGTGTGGGGGGGCGGGGTGTGTGAGATGGCTGACAGCCATTCTGGTCCCCCAGCCCCGCTTTGCGGGGGGTCCCCCGCCGCGGGGGTGTCCGCGGGGGCCGGAGCCGGCCGTGCCGCGGGAGGCGCTGCGGCGCGGGGGGATGGCAGACCTGGCCGCCCTCCCGGGAGCAGCGCGGCCCCTGCCCGCTCCCGCCGGCCCCGGGCAGCCGTGCGAGCCAGCTCCCCTCCGGCTGCCGGGCTTTGATGGCGAGCGCCCGGCTGAGCGCTGTGCCCCGAGCGGGCCCGCAGGCCGGCCGTGCGGTGCCCCGACCCCGGCGGGGGGCAGAGCCGCGGCCCGGGCCTGCGGCTCTTCCCGACGGAGGACGGGGGTGGGCTGGCATCCGCCCCCAGCGTGCCAAAGCGGGGGGTGTTGTGTGTGAACTTAACCTGTGAGGAAAATGCGGTAGGCCTGGGGGTTTGGAGCAGCAATTGCCTTATAGCTGTTCATCAGACTTTATTTCCAATGGTGTAAGTAGTTACTAGGAAAATAATTCTTTGCAGGTGGACACCTACGCCTGTTTTTTTCTCCTCTTTTGGAGTGTTACTGTTCTAATGCATATTTTTGACCTACTGACTGCTCTGTGGCATGACAGGGAATGCACCATCTTGTAGAGCATGTTACAGAGATTTCCCAAGAGAACGAGTTCAGTATCACAGGAAGACTGAAGAACTTGCTACAGTTGTGTGTTGGAACACCAACTGTCTTCCTCTGTGGTATAAGCTTAGAGTTTGTGATTGACTTTTCCTAAAGTGGGATCTATAAATCTCTCTATCTCATTTAAACCAGTTTTCTTTAGACAATTGAACTGCTAGTGACAGAGGCCAAAACTGCTCGTTTATGGGATTTGTCCAAGGGACAAGCCTGTGGCTTGTGTACAGGAAGACAATTGTGACATTGGAGGTATCCCATGGTCTCAAATACTGGCTCTTGTCATATGAGGATGTACTCTATCTGATGGGAAGATCAAGATCAAAACCAGAAATGTTGTTTGATGGTCTTTGAGTCTTCTCGCTTATCCGTGCAATTGCCTGTGCTGTTACACCCACAGAAATGGTGCTCACCTAAATGTGGGCTGGCACACCTGCACTATACGATGCTACTGCCCCTGTGAGAGTTCAGGCTTTTGTATGTCTTGTCCTCTTAAAGGAAGTTGTGCAGAGCTCAGATTTTACAAGCAAACAGGTGGGGTGTTTCTCCAGTTACTCTTGATGATGACTAACTGGAAATGCTGGGGTTAGCCAGTGCTGCTCTGGCTTTTCATCACACTTGTTTGTATTCAACGTGCTGTCGCCATGGTGTCTGGAGATGAGGCTGTCCTGCCCTGATATGTGTATGATGAAGATCTGTCAGTGGGCATGTGCTTCTCATCCCACCTTCTGCCCTTTATTTGCTCATAATCAGGAGAATGTTTGTATCCCCCTCTCAACAATCCCTGTTACCAGCCATCATTTTCCTTGGGAGTCTCATTCTCTTGCTCCACTCCCCTTCCAGCAAGCATTTATCTCTCTGTCTCTCCCTTCTGATACAGTTTCTAGCACTTTCTCAACCTTTTTCCAGGTTCTTGTCAGGAATGTCTGTGATACTGCTGTGGTAGGTCAGGTCTGATGGCTGTGGCCAGTCCCCTTTATCCACCCTGCTCTTGGGGACATACAACTCTGCTCAGTTGCCAAGCTCACATGTGCGCAAAATAATCCTTTTAGCAGCTGGATGTTAGCCTTGTCTTTCCAAGGTTTAGGAGTTTGAGTACTTTTTTGCCTCTCCAAAGGATTATGGAGACATCTGCAGGGGAGAGTGTTTGGAGTGCTAGAAGAGCCCTGGTTTTCCAGGTGCTTTTGAAACTGTGATGGTATGTTCCTCTTCAGAAACAGAGGCTTGAAGAGACGGGAGCTGGGACTGGAAAATCCCTTTGCATGCACTATAACAGTGAATCTCATAACTCCAGTTGAGGATGCAAGGTCTAACTACCCCCAGGCATGTGTTATGGAACATTACAGGCAGCCTCTAGCAGTGAAGACACCTTAACCTTACCAGGAGTGGACCAGGTGGCACAGGAAACAGCCGAGTGTGAGCTTAATGTGTATACCATGGACATTAAATACTAGCTGTAAAACCTGGGTTGTCTGTCTGTGGTTAGCTAATTAACACTACTGTTAGTCTTTAAGTGGAAACAGGAAAAAAAGTGTTGTAACTTATTGTTTCTTGTTCCTGATGTCTGACTGCCTTTTTTTTTTTTTGCTGTGGAATTGCACTGAGGCTGTAGAGTGAGGTCACCCTACGCTGAACACCAAGGAGACCATGCAGATGAGCAGTATTACAAATGTACCGATTGTAAACATCTTCCCATAGAGCTCTTGACTTAATAGATGCTGGAGGAGGGGCTTTCCCATTCTAGGTTATCGATGCTGGCCTGAATCAAGCAAGTGCAGGACATGATGTTTCCCTGGGAGAAAGTTAGCATAGATTCCTTGAACAGAAAGGAACTCAAAATGCATCCATCAGAAGCTGGGTAAATTGAGGCTGGATATAGGCTCTGAGACTCTGTTAGTCCTGAGGGCTGCTGCGAGTCCTCAGGATGTGACTTTGTAGTAGTTCTGCAGGCACAGATATAAGGTAAAATGTGCAGTTTAGGGTCTGTTTTGCTATTGTTTAAAATATCTTGGCTTTTTACACTAAAAACCACAGAACCTTTTCTTAGAAGATGAAGGGAAGCATTAGGCATTCTGAACTATAAACTACAGGATGAGTTTATTTTTCCCCTACTTGACTTTGACTCAGCTTTGGATATTTGGAGACTTCAGAGTTTCTGTTTTCTAAACTATTGGTTTTCCCCCTCCAGATTAAAGTTCATAACTGGTGTGTCTCTTCTGCCCCCAAGTCTTGCTCTGGTTATCTTGAGTGTGCTCCTAGCTCAGAGCCTTCCCATGAGAGAGAAATGATCTCTGTTTACTTAAAGTAGTTTGTCCACTTGAAAACAGACTAACCACTTCTAAGTTAGTAAGAAGCAGGCATGCAGTCTCTGTGATGTAAAAGACAAGCCATGTGAAAAAACAAAGCTGTGGTTCACTTTTACGTGAAGGAAGTGAGCACAGCAGCATATCAGTGTGAAGGGTAGAGCAAGCAATTCCTGTGAAGTTTGTGTAGAACAGCTTTCTCTGGTGCTAAACCGATGGATTAATCTATGCTGAGGCACGGTTCGTGGCTTAATGTCGCGCATGTGAATAGCAGGCGCTCCAGGTCTGGTCTTGTTCTCGTCCCTGCTCTGACTGCAGCAGAGCTGTTCCCCAGGGAGGATGCCGTCCTGCTCACTCTGTTGTCTTTATGCTGTATTTGCTGTAGTTACACCAGGTGGGCTCTGGCTCATCAGCATCGCAGCAACAAATGCAGCTCTGCTGGGAGAGGTGGTTACCTCCTTGCTGAGTGTTTGGGAGGGCACTCGGCTGTTTATCCTGCTGTGTAAAAGCCAAAGAGTGGCTACTGGGTTTCTTATGGTTTTGGCCACCTTTCCCGGTGGTGGAATATGCCTCTCTATAGCTGTGATGGTTACAGGTTGTGAGAGCTCTAAGCACTGATGGTAAAATGCAGAACGGCAAGATCCTGAAGGCGTGGACTGCCAGAGTGTCTTGGGGTAGGGACTGAACCCTTTGTATCCTCTAGTAAAGTGAACAGCCTCACAGGAGTTGGACTGACCTGCAGCTCTTCCTACCTGTCAGCTGTGCAAATGCATTCCTTTCCCCGGACTTCTCCAGGACGAGCAGTGTTACAGTTTGGAATCTGTGATTTGTCCCCATTTTCGTTCAAACTAGGCATCTGTAAGTTTTCTTCCAGATTTTGTGTAGCAATTCTAACTAAACTTCAGTGCCTGATAAAACATGAGATGATTATGTGTGGTTAACCTCAAGGGCAGGCATGCTGTAACTGCTCTTGCAATTTTAATCAGTTATCATGAAGTCAGTGATAGACTGAGGGAAACATTCTCTTGCTGTTCCCAAAAAGAGGGAACAAGGGGCAAGGAGCAGTACTGGCTTGGCAACTGTAAGTACAACCAAATCAAACCTGGTTTCTAAAGCACTTCTCTGCAAATAGGGAAATGCATCAAGCTCTTGCGTTCTTGGCTTTAACACCAATTTCTTTGTTTGAAGTTTTGAGAGTTTTAGTCCTGTTTCAGCTGAAAGCTGTTTGGGTTCAGATTTCAGAGTGGTGGAAGGGAAAATGTAAACTACTATTCTGGACTGTTCTTAGCTTTTATTTCTTCCCAGTTCTTTGTGCACTTCTCTGTAGACAAATCAGCCGAGTCCTGTGTCTCCAGAAAAACTAGAAATGCAGTCTAAGCAAAACATTGCAAACTTAATTGAGAGAGAGACTGGGATTTTGCAGCGCTAATACCAACTGTGAAGCTTCACTTCTGGATTGAGGAGGGAATTTGTACTGGTAAGGAGTGGGCAGAAGGGAGATACGAGTGAAATCACTTAGGTTCAGCTAGTCCTCCTCTTTGGCTGACCGTGGAGAAGGAGGGTGCTCTCAGCTGGTGCCTGCTGTGGAGCTTCAGACGCAGAAGGCTGTGGTGGTGGTGCCTTTGCTGGAAAGCCCTTTGAAAACTGAGTGTGCTAAAGAGATTTGTACAGTGAAATAGCTAGGTTGAAAAAGATAAATATGCAAATTAAATTCCAGATCAAGTATCAGTTTGAAGATCAGCGTGCTGCCTGGTTTTGAGTGGTGGTTGCGTGCCAGCCATGCGCTGCTCTGAGCGGTTGGAGCAAGCAGGGCTGCTGCGTGCTGGCAGGCAGTTTGTT